AGAAAACAAAGCAAATCAAATAATCAGCACATACATACAAGTTGAACTGTTGTATTAAAAATTTTATATTTTTGTCTTTTTTGCTTTTTGTTTTACATAAAATCACTGGGCAACCATACAACGACGACAATTCCAAACATCCGTTCGCAACGATTGACAGAAACACAGTGTGCCGAAACGAAGCAATGCTCACCGTGTACATGGTGTCTCTATTGTGAACAGTGTTGCCGTTTTTATCCATATACTTCAAAAGTGATTTGTGTTTGAGCAAATTTTCGGAAGATACTTTATTTTTTCGTTAATTTCGCGAGATACTTAAATTTTCCGCGTAGTACAAATTTTGATACATGAAAAAAAGAAAATATATATGTATGCAGAAGCCGCTCTTAAAATTTGATCGAAAATGTTTGCACCTTTTGGGGACCCATAAGCTTAAGGAAAAGTGCTTCAAACCAACTAAGTATAAATAAGGACGACTGCATTCAGTTTTAATTTACTTTTATTGCCTCTTACATATCTTTTCAGCTGCAGAGCGTATATTTTCAGATTTAAAATTGATCCAATTTAAAAAGAGAAATAGACTTCTATTACAAACTGTTGAGAATATAACTAGGCGCCTTCATAGTAGAAATAAAGTCGACACTGCTTCAGCTTTTAGACATAATTTCCAAAGAGTTTAACGTGGAATGTAACACATAATTTAACAATTAACGTAAATGATCGACACCTAATAGTTATACATGTCTTTGTAATCAAGTTTCTGTGAAATCTTTATAATATAATATTTTTGCTTAACTTTAAGCAAGCTTAACAACAATAGCAGTAACAGTTTTTTCTAACTTGATACTTTGATACTTAAAAAAACATCGAGATACATTTGATCAATTGTTTTTTTACGATACATTTTTTCAAGGCGTCGCGGCAACACTGATTGTGAACACATGTGTTTGTGGTGAGTTTAAGTGCTCGACTAGTGAGTAATATAAATGAGAAGCAAATGAGTTAAGGGTTTTAATTCATATTTTGTGAAAAATGTATTTCAATTGGAAAAGTGGATTTTATTTGTATTTTATTTGTTTTGAGATAAAAGTAACACACACGCCTTCATACGTGCATAAATATGTATGTAGATATGTTTTGTAAATGTATACATTTATGTATAAGTTCGTGCTAACTTGCATTTGTATCTACAAAAGTACATACTATGTACATAGTATATATGAATGTTTAAACATAGCAGAAAATTCCTCAGAGAGCTCCGCAGAGTTTTGAGTTGGTTCTTTACACATGTATGTATGTAAATATTTATGTATGTATACAAATGTGAATTTTCTACTACGATTATCTGCTACCATCCAAATCCAGTTTTCAAGAAAAATCACAAGAAATGTTTTTCGTTACTTCTGTTGCTTGAAAAAGCACTTTGCTTTTGCTGTAAATTTTCTTGAAGAAATAAATATACGAGCATTTTTTTCTTGACAGCTCCAAATGATTTAAGAAATTTTGATGTATAAATTTTATGTACATGAATTTTTCGTTTTTCTTGAGAGCCGGAAACAGTCCATAAGGGCAACAATTATTTATTCCTATAACGCAACAAACAAATGAAACTGTTTAAAAACTATTTTATTTACGTTTTAAGAAGACCTTCCGGTGTTCCGTACGGTCACGAGATGGAACAAAATTTGTTGGAGAGAAACGTGTAACAAACTTGTGAGAGCAGAAAGGAAAAGTGAGACAAACCCAATTGTCTTTCAATGCGAAGTAGCAAAAAATAAACTTATAACCAGTGTTGCCAAACACCGCCCTTTCCTTACAAAACTGGCAGGTTTTTTTCCATTTGGTAGGTTAGTAGGCTAGATTGGATTGTGGTAGGTTCCGCGACAATAGTTATTAGCGAAAAATATAAAATATAAAATATGTATCTCCAAACATTTTAGCAACCTTGTTCATTCATTGTAAGTCTAGAGGATTATCCCTAAAACTAACCTATTGGTCACATATGTGGCACTGGCCTGGTAGCCGAAAGCTACGCGAGTAAAGGTGGGTTCCACCTTGTCAAGCTGCACCGACTGGTCCGCTTGGCCATTACAGGAGCTATGGTCACCTGTCCAACGGACGCCCTTGGTGTTATTACAAGCATTCATCCTTTGTCTATTCTGTTTGAAAAGGAGGCCTGTTGGGGTGCCCTACGACTGCCCAATATTATCAGCAAGAAAATTTAGGATCTGCGGGTTCTAAAGCCATTCCTGGATAATCCCGAGTTATCCTTCAAACACTACAAGGTTAGAATTCCTGAAAGAGACTGCTGTAAAGTGATAATAACTATGATTGACGAAAATTCCCAAGCATGGTATACCGACGTATCAAAGATGGACGGCAGGAGTACTGGTGCAGGTATATTTGGACCAAAATTCCAGAAACCATATTCCAGGCGAAAGTCTTCGCAATCGAAGTCTGTGTAACAAGGACAAGTGGGGTCAAATTAAATATTATGTCGGATAGTCAGGCAGGTTAATGGTCTTAGACTCTTTTAAAACGACAGCAGGCTTGTGGTAAGCGGTAAAGCTTTTTCGAACCACTTTTAAGCTCACAATAACGTAACGCTGTGGTGGGTTCCGGGACATGAAGGGTTTAAAGGCAACGAAAGCTGACTATCTCGCAAACCGTGGAGCCCAAATGCACTTGCATGGTCCCTAGTCTTGTGTGAGCTGGTCGAGGAAACCCCAGAGCATATTCTAAGTGACTGCCCACGTATCATAAATAGCAGACTGATACAATTTGGGGAACGATTGTCTTTTTCATCCAAAATTTTAAACATGGCGCCCTCCAAAGTGCCTAACTTCTTAAATAGAATAAGGTTGGAGTGATTACAACTAGGGTTTAGCACAATAGATCTTCTTAGGTCACAGCGCGTGTATCCCCGACATAATAATAATAATATGTACATATGTGTAAAGAGGCTATCAAATTCAATGGCATTTGCCGTCAAATAAGTGAAAACGCCAAGTAAGATTAACCCCTGCCGGTCGAGAGGGTCTGGGTTGAGTACTCCTCGGGCATAGAGGATTTTTTATATTTTTTAATTTAGTATTGATTTTTTATTAGTTTTATTTTTTTAATAATCTTTAGATTTTAATGTTTAAAAAAATTAATTTTTTTTCAATGGATTTGTATGATATTAAAGCATTTTGGTTTATTTCCTAACGAAATTCTTATTGAACAAATTTCCTCGCTTCATATTCGCGTTTTTTTTTAATAAAATGGAAAACAATTAAGTTTTTCTCCATATTTTTATTTTTGAGACCTGCTCTTAGCCAGTTGACAAATTAGTGACCTTTTTTGAGACTAGAGACGTGATACAGCATACTGAATACCAAATATGTAGTCTCAAAATCCAAGCTCACCACCAAAAGTCACTATTAGTGACTAGAGACCGCTTACTGAATGCCAGGGTAAAAAGCACTATATTGATGGATTTCGATCAGGACAGGTCTTTAGTCGCATACGTGCGCTGATATATCGGCGATCTGTCTGCTTTTGGCTCATAATATTATCGGTAAAGGTATGGATATAGGAGATAAAGTTCTGTCAAATTATGTCGCGAAATTTTGACGTCAAAATATGACATAGTAGAGCTGTAAAACTAGCGATGGTACTATCGATACTATCGAATGGTTCTATTTTTTTCACTATCGAATGGTCGTTGGCCACCATCGATAGCCTTTGTTTGAGGAAATATATATACAGGCATGTTCTGCAAATCGTACGATATCAAATCGGTCCAATTCGCAATGTATCGTTGTATATTCCTAATCACAGTATTAAATGTTTCAAATGGAAACTGCTAAGAACACATCATTTACGTTATATCCATCGATTTAGTGCCAAATTTGTCCCTCTTTGTTATAAATCCTCCGAAATAGATTTTGTAAATCGTACCAATTTGAAATCGTTAATTTGCAGAAGATGCCTGATATTATTTATATTATATGTACTACTTAGTATGCATTTCTTTATTTTTGAAAATGGGAATTTGGCAACATTGGTTTGCTTACACATCACTATTTTTTTACCTATTACCG